ATTAATTGGTTTTGATACCTGTTTATCAAAAAAACAATACTGTAAGTTTTCTAATGAGGTCAACGACTCACTCTCAATTTAACTCATTAAATTTGCTAATTAGCATGTAAACATGTTTGCGAATGAGTTTAAGTTAAATAGTGAAGAAAGTAAATAGAGTCGTATGAAGTAGTGAAACTGAGATGATTTATGTTTGCACCGCATTCAGAGATGTATAACATTGCAGGTAGTAAATCAAAAGATACTTGTATCTAAGATACTTAAGAATAAAGACTTAGTAAAATACTCCCTTCATTTCAAAAAGAGTGGCCTAGTTTGACTTGGCACGAAGTTTAAAAAAATAAAGAAGACTTTTGAATCTTGTGATCATAAATTAAAGGTATGTCAAATGTACAAAATTGTCATTTAATCTTATGGCCTTAAACGTGGAAAGATGAAATTAAAATGTTACCAAAAAAAGAAAGAGGTCATTCTTTTCGAAACATACTAAGAAGAAAATAGGTCATTCTTATTGAAACTGAGGAAGTAGAAAGTTTGGAGCACAATATTAGTAGTATATTGCTTTGTATTGTTCAGAATCCAACTCCTTATAAATGTTTTTAAAACTACTATTTTATAGGCGACAAAGGTAATTTATCAACCAATAGAAAAGCCTCACTCAAGCCCTAATGTCACTCCCCAAACTAGGGGAGGCATCATTGACACACGATAACTTATTCAACTGAGCTAGCCATTGAAACGTAACAGAAAGAAAACAACAAGGGACGAAAAAGTCAAGTAGATAACGACTGAAATAATATGTCTAGACCGCCAAGGTGACGGCCACAATAAGAATAGCATAATGAAAGGGCTGACAAGGCCAACTCAACTGACAAAATCGAAAATCCAACATGTTCTATAATTGGAGACATATATACATATTATACCGACAAGGCTGGAAACTAAAATCTACAAATACCCAACATAGTATGTTCACAAAGCTTATAGGAGTACTATACAACTAGTTAGGACAAGATCTCGATAATATCCAAAAATTGTACACAAAAACTCAAGTATGCAAAATCTACAGGCAACCAATAGCTCCAAAAAGAATGGACCTTGTCAATCCTCAGTTGAGACATCACCCTGATTGTAAAGAACAATTAGGCCTCTATCGAAATCTGTAGCATGAAATGTAGTTCTCAGGCAACAAAACATCAGTACAAATAAATATGTATTGAAATATAAAGCAGAAAGTAGAATCATAAAAAGTTGTGATTAGAAGGATAATAAAGATATCACCTAAAATTGAAATCCTACTAGCCACAACGGGCAGACAACTGAACTCAAAATACTTTTGATATGTATAAAATATTTATATAATAATGTACATGAATATATATATATATATTATAAGCCAACAACACTAGGACGAACACAACATCAACTGGTTGTACAGAAGGCAACACAAGGTAGCAAATGAGTACGGATGCACATGAATACAAATACCATTTGTTATGAATTATAATAGCGATACAATTGTATTTGCCAATACAAATTGTGTTCGGATATGAAATGTATTCATTAATAGTTTTTGATACAATTTATTCATGATACAATTATCGGTAAGATATACAATTACTGATCAAATATACAAATTAATTGTATCTCTCTTGCCTCTCTTCTCTCTCTTCCAGATATCGCTCTCCTCTATCCTTCCTCTCTCAATCTCGCTCACCTCTCTCCTCCTTCTAGTAGCTAGTTTTTGATACAAATCAATTATATCTACTGTATTTGTGATACAATTATCCATCAGATATACAAATCAATTTTGTCTCTCTGCCAGATCTCGCTCGCATCTCTCCTCCCTCTCCCAATTTCGCTTACATCTTTCCTGCTTCTAGCATGTAGCTACGAATCGTAACTAAGTAAACTATAGCTAAGGAATTATGTTTCTAGTCTTAGTTATTTTTGAAATTTTCATATAAAAAACTATGGTAAAAGAAAATCTTAATTGACTGTCCAAAATTTTATTTTTGTCATATAAATTGAAAGAAAGGGAGTAAAGAGATTTTCAATAATTAAAAAGGCATTTTGAATAATTTATACATTTACAAATTATGTTTAAAGTACTATAAATTACAACAATTAACAACTTAGGACTGAAGAATTAAAAGATTACAATTAAAGAAAATTTTGATCAACCCTCAAAATTCCAATTGCATTATATAAATTGGGATTAAAAAATAACATATATTAGGCTCATTCGCACACAAACCCCTATATCCAAAGAAAAAAAAAAAGTCGAACCGAGAACGTTGAGTAAATTTTTCCCATTTTAACTTTTCTTATATTAATTTTGTCAACTCAAAACGTAGAAATTCACAACTCTTTGTAATCTTATAACATGGTTTCTAGAAATTTAAAATTTTAAGTTCAAATGTTCAGTCACTTTATTATTTCTAGAGATTTAAAGTTTAAGTTCAAATGTTCGATCTAAATTTTCAAAGATTTTTAATCCTCCGTCAAAAGATAAAGACTTCTTTATTTCTTTTTAAAAAAAAAAAGAAAGTGAAGAATATTTGTATATTTATTAAATGGATGATAAAATAGGGGAAAGATTATTATACCACAATGATTAAACGAATTAAAATTTTGGCATTTATTAATAAGCATATAAATCTTGTATAATGTGTGTGTTTTTGAATTAAAATAGGCAACCGAACTAATTATTACTTGTGTTTTGTGAATTTGAAATAAAATAAGGATATATATTGGCATTTAATTTTATCACAAGATAAAAAATTATATAATAATTTCAAAAAAAATAAAAATAAAGAATTATATTGAAAAAATAAATAAATAATAAATTTCTCATTTTTTTTACCAATTTTTCTCTATATCAACCTTATGGATTTATTTGAATATTTTAACGGAAAATTACTTGTTTAAAATTTTCAGATAATTTACACAGAAAATTCAAAAATCTCAGGTAATTATTACCTATAAAGTTTTTTTCATTAAATTTTGTTTAGTAGAAAATTTCGCAAGAAATTAGATTTTTTTATATAATCCTCTGGTAAATTTTCATGTAACTTACGATTTTTTTTATATAGACGTGAATTTGGTGAGTTAAATAGGTCTATTTTTTTTTAAATGATGATTTAATAACATGACATGTCAACTAGAATAGAAGAAGACTTTTGAGATATTTAGTATATTTTTAAAGAAAAATAATACTTATTCCAATTTATATGACTTATTTTTTTTGTAATTAGGCTAAAAAAATGATATATTTCTACATTGACTAATAATTAACTTTAAAAATGCCCATTTTACCCCTTAAGAAATAATTTATGGCCACACAAATTTCTTTGACTTACTTTGAAACACAAGTCAAAAGTCATTTTTTAAAACTTCACGTCAAGTCAAACTAATTCATACAAATTAAAACGGGAAGTAATAGTTGAGTGATACTATTGTCTCTAAAAAAATATAAAAGTGATTTGTATAAGTAATTTTCAAAACACAGTGATTATTTAGAAAAATAAGGAAAAACGGTCAAAGATGCCCTTTCATTTATTAGCTTGCCTTACCTTTATTGTTAATATCAAGTTATTTATATCATCACCGTCTACAAACTTGTCACCCGTACCCCGATGAAAAATTTCAAATAAGCAAAAATAATTCAATTTCATTTAAATTACTCAATTTCTTCTCTTAATCCGAAGCAGACCCACTAAATCAAATAAATTCAATATCAAATTAAATCTCCAAACTCCATCTCTCAAATCTTCTTCATCTCCTTCCAATTGAGGGTATGAGTTTTCCAATCAAAAAATGGATTCAGCAAAACCCATTTTAAGTTTTGTAATTTTATTCGCCGATCCTCCTAATCGCTGCACACGGTTGTCAATTTCACCCGAAAACAACAACGTAAGTGTCACTGACTTGTGATGAATTTGGATGGGGGGGCGTTGGTCGCGGCTGTGGGAGAGATGAGGTGGTGTTTTATGGTGAAGTCATCGGCGATGGTGATTTGGGAATTTCATCAGAATGATTAGGACATTTAGAGAGAATTTGTGCAACATCAAGTATGACATTGAGTTGAGACCTGGAAACCCTAGGAGATCCAACAAGTAGGACATCTACCACATATCCATGCTAGTTTCTCCACGAATTGAGCTGGACTTTGTGCAATTAAATCACATAGCTCAGTCAATGACTCCATTTTTCTTTTAAAGAGTGTTCTGGAGTTAAAGATTTGCAAGAGTTTCAAATACGAGAAATGATGAATGGAGTTGAAACTGGAAGAAAATTCATATAGTCCAAACTTTTTCACAATGTAGACGGCGAAGGTATAAAAAACTGAATATCAACTGATAAATGAAAACTGAGAGGTATTTTTAGTACTTTTCCGAAAAATAATATAAAGTTTAAGTACTAAAAATGATTCTTAACATGGAAATTCCTTCTTAATAAATTAATCTATTTAAATAAATACAAAGAACAAGATTATAATTTTAATTAAACGAGTTAAATAAATATATTATTAAAAAAATTGAGGCTTTATTGACATGTATGACCAACAAGGATAGAAGGCTTTTAAAGTTTTAAGTATTTTTAAGGAAAAATAGTGATAGTTGATTTATATTTGTATAATAAAATAAAACATAAGTAATATTTGAAGACAATTCCCAAAATTTGAATGAATATTTAACTCCAAATATTTCTACATTTTCCAACTTTGCAAGTTCTGCACAAACATCTAACGTCCAAACGGTACCAAGATCTTGCTTCCAGACTTTACTTGTCTCTACCTTTATAACTTTTTTTAAAAATCAACGAAAAAACTTGATTAACGGTTCACTGCAAAACATAATATATCTTGAAGAAACAAAAATGCAAGGCTCAGCTGAGATTTGAGTAAAAAAGGAGAAATTAATGTCCTCATCATGAGTCATGTCCAACAAGATTGTTCAACCTGTGCAAACAAAAGCTTGATACACAACAACCAGACATTTCAACTGGGAATACCAGCAAGCTCAATTTTACTTTTTACTAATTCCCCATAATATTCAATACCAATGAACTCCAAGTTTCCGAAACACAAAACTCATTACTAGTTCCAAAATGCCTTTCTAGAACTAAAAATAAAGAACAAACAATGTTTCAAAGCAAAACTGTCCAACCAATAAGAATTATCCACACTGCAGGAAAAGAACCCTTAACGATTGGCCTTGGCAACCCTCTCAATCTCATCCTTCTTCTTGATAGCATAGCTACACGTACATAGAAAGAATAAGTAGGCAGAGAAGATAGTTACATTCATGAAGGATTAAACGAATATAGGAGTAAAAAGACGGCAATAGAAAAGATTACCTGTTGGAAGATCCCTTGGCAGCATTAATGAGTTCATCTGCAAGGCATTCTGCTATGGTCTTGATGTTCCTGAAAGAACTCTCACGTGCACCAGTTGTGAGGAGATATATTGCCTGGTTGACACGACGGAGTGGAGAAATATCAACAGCCTGTCGCCTCACAACACCAGCAGAACCTATACGAGTTGCATCTTCTCTTGGTCCACTGCATCACACAGGTAAAAATTAAAATGGTTATAAATGAGAATTGACTACAATATCTGAAGTATGCCACGACATGGAAATGGAACAAAGAAGACATGGTATGCAAATCTTCTAAAATTAACAAGAACCTCAGCAAGAAAAAGTCGAGCTAATAAATATGCAAAAATCAGAATAATCTCTAAACCTGTTGATAACAGCATCAACAATCACTTGGATTGGGTCTAGGTCAGTCAACAGATGGATAATTTCCATAGCATGCTTAATAATACGAACAGCCATCAACTTCTTCCCGTTGTTCCTTCCGTGCATCATCAGTGAGTTGGTCAACCTCTCCACAATTGGGCACTGAGCCTTTCTAAACCGCTTGGCTTGGTACCTCCCAGCCGTGTGTGGCGTATATGTAGGATGCTTGTTAGCAGTAGCAGTTATGTAATCCTCAACAGAAATATCACTAATCTGCATGAGATAATAACATTTAAGAGAGAATTCAAGAGAACACAGACTGAAGTTCTCCTTTGAGCATTCAAATGAAGAATCCACCTACAATTACATTTCCAACTTAACCAACAAGGATTAATCTGGACTCTCAGCAAGTAATTTTCTGTCATATAAATCCACCATTTACCAGGTAACAATGATGAATAGGCACACCTTCTGTAAGGTTGTCACTGTTGGCTTGTTATGGATTGATTGAACCAACAGTATTCTGTTCAATTTGAGCATATCATGTTTAGCGTGCATCTTTATTTGAATAAGAAGATCAAGCCAGCAGGCTATATAATTGATGGACATACCTAAGCAGTGTCGTGCATAGTGTTTCAAGTTTCTTAACCATGGTTAAGTCTTCAACTCATTGGACTTGAGGACAGATAAGTAGGGCTGGGCATGGAAAGGTATGGTACAGTATTGAAAACATTGGTTCAATAAGTTTGATTTTTAAACATACCATACCATTACCATATCAAATTAATTCCAAATGCGCCGACACTTTTAACTTTGGTTTGGTAACCAATTTTTGTTTGACTTCGACTTACATATACTCATATAAATAGAGAATTATGCTTTGGTTTTTTTTAGAAACGTCTTAATTATATCATATAAAGAACTTACTCATGTAAAAATATTCAAAAGAAAGTACAAGCAATTCCCTCCATTAATCAATTACACAAAAAGGACAATTCTATCACAAAAGAGTAGCCAAAGCATTCAATGGCATAACAACTTTGAACTAGTACTAGTTTATATATTTGATAGTATTATGATAAAATATATGAATTGTATACCTAACTATACACTTTGTTATAGTATTTGGTAATTCGATACTTGTTATAAATAATATCAAATATCAAATATAAAAAAAAAATTAAAATGCATATCAAATGCCATATTATTGAAACCGTTGTGTCAAAAATTTTGGTTTCGGTACGATAATTCGGTATCTACCCTACCATGCCCACCCTTACTGATAAGTCACCTCTCTACTCTACAATTAGAGTTTAGCTAATTCTAGAAACAAAAAAAATCAAATGTTTATCCCTCCTTAGGATTTCGAAAATGCTAAGTTTCCTTCAATTCGACATTAATGTTTGGAAAATAATGAAAAGATATATGAATTGGAGAGGAATAAAATTAAAAGGGAAACAAACCTGAACGTCGTCATATGACCAACGATTGAAAAGCAAAACATCAGTGTGAGGCTTCTCTTGCTGCTGCTTTTGGTTGTCCACTGCTACTACTGAAGCTTCCATTTTTCCTCTTTTCTGAGCGGGGTTTAAGGTCTAAGGAGGTGTCGATTGGAGAAGAAGGAAAACCCTAAACCCAATTATACCGTCCAAAATAGCCTTCATTCTAAGATTGGGCTAAAACGCCTTTTTGGCCCACTTTTTTCCATACTCAACTTGCTCCAATTTATTCTTTTAGAAAAGTATGCGGTTAAACAAATTTATATTACTTAATTAGTCATCATAGTTATAGCTTGTTATAATTATCATTCACGACTAATATTAATCATTACTTACATGGGCTGACTTCGAGTTTGTATAATTAGTCGCGTTTGTATAATTCGTCACATTTGTATAATTCGCACCTAATAATTCTTTGTTTGATTTGTATTTGTATACGATAGTTTGTATTTGTATATGACGATGATTTCCTTTGTTTTTTTAGTTTTATCACCATATACAAATTATTGCCCTCTCTTGCTCGCCTCTCTCCTCCCTCTCCCAATCTTGCTCATCTCTCTCCTCCCTCTCCCAATCTCATTCGCCTCTCTCCTCTCTCTCCCAATCTCGTTCCCCTCTCTCCTCCCTCTCCCAATCTCGCTCGCCTCTCTCCTCCCTCTCCCAATCTCTCAAGATATAGTTCCCCTCTCTCTCCCTCTCCCAATCTCGCTCGCCTCTCTCCTCCCTCTCCCAATCTCGCTCGCATCTCTCCTCCCTCTCCCAATCTCGCTAGATATACAAATAGATTCTATTATATAGAAGAGTGAAGCCTAGGACGACCAAGGACAAATTAGTAATTATGTTATTATGCAAGGGTAAAATTGTAATTACACATAATTGATATTTTAACAAAGTACGTTCCTTTTCCTTTCCCTTCCAGATCGTTCCAGATCTCTCTCCAATACTTCCAGATTATGATTAACAATTGCTATTTGCTTAGGAGAGAGATCTAAGAGCCAAAAAAGAACAATGAAAAAACTTCCTTGCATCTCTTCATCATATATCTTCTTCCCGACTTCTCCTAAAGCTTGGGTTACGAGCTAAATTAACTATACAGTTCGAGATTTGAGGAAGATGACCTAAAAACTTCCTCTCTTTTTCAAATCAGAAACATTGGTTGTTGCTTAAAAAGAATAGCCTTTAGTTTGGGGAATCTCAGTAACTCCCATCCAAGGTTCAATTCTCCACCCACATTGTAATTTAATCCCTTCCTACCCCGATTTTATAAAAAAAAAGAATAGCCTTCAATTCTCCTTATTCACTTTCAATAATATTTTAGCAGAGAAGCGTATGCATTCGATACAGTTCTTTTACTATTTTCAGCTTTCTTAACAGTTGCTTTTTGATCTCTTTGTAGGTGTTGACGTTTCAACAAACACTTAGAGCTTGTAATCTTTATGATTGTGAACCTGAAGGTATATATGATTAAATCCAGGTATATACTGTCATATTTTCTGGAAAGCAGTAGCAAGTTACTTTTCTTTCATTGTTCCTTTTTGGTATTTTTTTTCTTTGTTCTTCTTATGATATTAATGAAATATAAGTTAGTTAGTTAAAGTTCACAGAGTTAGTTAGCATTGTTACTGCTTCACAGAGTTAGTTAGTTAGAGTTGGTTACAAAAAGTCAGATTTTGTATAAGTTGGTTAGCTAGCTTACAATTCGTGTATCTATATATACAGATTCACATGTAACAATCACCACTTAATTTTTCATTCAATGAAACAATTTCTTTTCCATTTAGCTCTTCCAGAACTTTCTTCTTCCTTTCTCATATGAACTTGATGTTCATCAATGGAGGAATTTGATTGTTTGGCATCACAATATGTTGATTTTCTCATGGTATCAGAGCACAGGGCATAGATCCTATTTCCTTTCCGCATCTACAACAGTCTGTGAGCTTCAATTCTCAAAGTTTTTTTTCTTCGAGTTTCTTTTGCTGTTTCAATTTTGAGTTTCAGTTATTGTTCCTCAAATTGAATTTGTTGCTCGATCTCTTTTCGATATGGTTGATCAACAAGTTGATCCAATTCCAAGTGGTTTTACATCCACAGTTAGGATTGAGATTCCTAGTCCTTTCTATCTACACCCTTCCGAGAATGCAGGTTCATCTCTATTACCTGGAGTTTTCGATGGTACTGGTTATAGATCCTGGAGGAGAGCTGTTCTTAGGGCCTTGTCAGTTAAGAGCAAGACAGGTTTTATCAATGGGAAAGTTGTAAAACCAAATCCAGATGATCCTAGCTTTTAGCAGTGAGAGAGGTGTGATGATATGGTAACCTCTTGGATTTTGAATTCCTTATCACCAGATCTAAGGGATAGTCTGCAGTACGTTAACAATGCACAGGAATTATGGGCTGAATTGGAAGAAAGGTATGATCAGACTAATGGTTGTAAGCTGTACCAGCTTCAAAAGGAGATAAATGATCTTGTCCAAGGCACCTTGGATGTTACTGGATACTACACAAAGATGAAGAAATTTTGGGAAAAGATGAGCACGGTCGATGTAAGCTCTCAATGTAGTTGTGTTTGCACTTGTGGTGGTAAGATAAGGTTGGTCAAAGCTGAACAAGATAGAAGACTCATACAATTCTTGATGGGACTGAATGAAATGTACACTGTCATCAGGGGAAATATTCTCATGATGAGTACCCTGCCTAGTATGGCACAAGTTTTTGCCATTTTGTCTCAAGAGGAAAAACAGAGGGAAGTAAGACCTCACAACCACACAGCTTTGGACTCAACTTCACTGAATGCTCTTGCCAATAGTACAGGATCTAAGGGAGGCCCCATAACAAACTACAATTCCTCTAAAGGGAGCACATGAGTCTCTGGGAATTTGAATAACACAAATGTGTTTAGAGGTAATTCTAGCACCAGCAGGAGTTCCTTGTTTTGTGATTTCTGCAAGAGCACAGGTCACACAAGAGAAAGATGCTACAAACTTCATGGATATCCATCCAACTCGAAGTTTTCCAAGGGGAAGAGTGTTGGTTTTGCAGCAAATATGTGCACCTCTGAGAATGATAGGAACCACTGTGAAGAAGACCCTGAGTTGAGGAAACAAATGCCTTTGAACTTGTCCAAAGATCAGTATGAACAACTGCTCAATCTTTTGGGATCCCTGCAGGTTGGACATGGAGCTCCTAACTCAGACAACATGCTAAGTGGAGCTGTGAATCTGGCAGGTATACTTGCTTGTTACTCTTCCATTACTGAGATATGTGATCTTTCTTGTAGATGTATACAATTAACTGCTAACTCTTGGATCATAGACTCGGGAGCATCACATCACATGACCTACAATAAAAACACTCTCACAAACATTAGACCATTACCATATCCTTTCCTTATCAGTCTACCTAATGGTTACAAAGTTAAAGTGACTGAGATTGGTGATGTCTGTTTAAGTCCAGTTTTAACTCTACAGAAAGTGCTTTTTGTTCCTAGTTTCAAGTTTAATCTAATATCAGTTCATTGTCTAGCATTTCAACTCAAAGGTGTGGTAAGCTTTAACAATTTTTCTTGTTTATTGCAGGGCCCTTCTCTGAAGAGCCCTCTGGAACTTGGTAGAGCCAAGAATGGCCTATATTTCCTGTGTTCAAAGTGCTACAACTGTTGTTCATCTTCTACTAAGAGCAAAGGACCTCATGTCATTTCCAGTCATTGTACTTTTGTTCCGTCTTTAGTAAAATGTAATGAGTTTTCAACATCATCTACTGTAAGACATTGTCCTATTGATAATAAAGATGATTGTCCCAAACCTGGTTCTTCTTCATGTCATCTTACTGATTGTTCTTCTTTTATTGCTAAGTCTGATAACTCTCATACAGATGAACTCATATGGCATGCTAGACTAGGTCATGTACCTTTTGTAAAAATGAAAAGAATTCCAACTATACCTGTTCCTTTCTCTACCAAACAACCTTTCACTTGTGCAATATGCCCCATGGCTAGACAACCTAGAATGCCATTCCCAGACAGCACAACTATCACTAGTAAAGTTTTTGAGTTACTTCACGTTGACCTATGGGGACCATATCACATTCCTACTCATGATGGTTATCACTATTTCTTAACCATGGTAGATGATTTCACTTGATCAACTTGGACACAACTCCTGAGGTGTAAAAGTAATGCTCTACAAACAATCAAGGCTTTCATATGTCTTGTGAAAATCAATTCCAGACCAAATTGAAGACCATCAGGTCTGATAATGGTCTGGAATTCACCTCTACTGAGGCCAATCATTTTTTCCAAGAAAAGGGAATAATACACCAGAAATCTTGTCCATATACACCTCAACAAAATGGCATAGTTGAAAGAAAAAACAAATACCTCATTGAGACAGCAAGAGTCCTCTTATTTCAGTCTAAATTGCCCATGAGGTACTGGGGAGAGTGTGTATTAACAACCACATACCTTATTAACAGATTGCCTTCTAAACCTTTACAAAATAAAACTCCCTATGAACTACTGTACCATACACCACCTACATACTCTCATCTTAGAAGTTTTGGATGTCTATGTTTTCCCACTACTTTAAAAGCTCACAAGGACAAGTTTGAACCAAGGGCAACACCACATATTTTTGTTGGTTATCCTTTCAATACAAAAGGTTACAAGGTCTTAGATTTAGCTACCAAAAAATTCCATGTATCTAGAGATGTTATTTTCCATGAGTCTGTGTTTCCTTTTGTACTTGCTCCTGATGGTTCTAGTTTTCCTTCTGTTTTAAAGCTTTTAATCCATCACTCCAACACTTCTACTTACACTCCATATTCAACAAGCATGCTTTCTAATGATGAATTACTAGACTTTAACACATCCCATGAAGTCCCCACTAATCAAGTAATCAATGATATTGCTGAAAACAAAACCTCACCTGCAGGACAAAATACCCATTCACCATTAACCACCACACAATCCATGTATGCACCTGTTCCATCTTGTGATGTTGTACCTACCCTTAGAAGAACAACTAGACCACTTCATACTACCACCTACTTAAAAGAATATAATTACACTCTACCTAACCTACATTCCACTACAAGTACCTCCAGCCCACATCACTCCCTCACTTCTTTTGTGTCCAACCATGATAGTGTTTGTTTCACCTCTTTATGTTCTGATAGTCAGCAGTTGATTGAAAACATATCACATGACTGTGAACCTTCTTCCTATGAAGAAGCAATCTTGTATCCTGCATGGCAGAAGGCAATGACACAAGAATTTGAAGCATTGTATGCAAATAATACTTGGGAACTGGTCCTCCTACCCAAAGGGAAGAATGCTATTGGCTGTAAATGGGTATACAAAATCAAACACAAGGCAGATGGTAGTGTGGAGAGGTTCAAAGCTAGGCTAGTAGTTAAGGGGTATACTCAACAAGCTGGTATAGACTATAATGAGACTTTTTCTCCTGTGGTTAAGATGACCACTGTTAGGACCCTTATCACCTTGGTTGTCAAGAGGGGATGGAATCTGTATCAATTGGATGTTAATAATGCTTTTCTTCATGGTGACTTGAATGAGGAAGTATATATGACATTGACACAAGGCCTTGCAGTGGACAGTCCATATATGGTGTGCAGACTGAAGAAATCATTGTATGGTTTGAAACAAGCTAGTAGACAATGGTATGAAAAATTGGCCAGCAGTCTTTGTTCAAAAGGATACATACATTCAGATAATGACTATTCACTATTTTATAAGAGAAAGGGAGCTTCTTTGGTGTTTGTTGCCATATATGTAAATGATGTGATCTTGACTGGAACTGATTTGGAAGAAATCAATTCTTTGAAATCCTTTTTGCATGATCAGTTCAAAATAAAGGATCTAGGTAGACTACACTATTATTTGGGGTTAGAAATATTGTACAGGCCTGATGGAGTTCTCATTTCACAAAGGAAGTTTACCACTGACCTCTTGAAGGAGTTTGATTCTTTCGACTGTAAAGTTGCAGCCTCACCCCTTGATTGTACTGAAAAGTTGAAAGCCACAGATGGGAAGCCATTGTCTGATCCTACCTATTACAGGAAGTTGATAGGAAAACTTAACTTTCTTACAAATACTAGGATGGATATAGCCTATAGTGTGCAGCATCTCAGCCAATTTATGCAAACACCCAGAGAACCACACTTGAAAGCAGGTTATCATGCTCTTCGATATTTGAGACAAGATCCTACAATGGGAATCTTCATTTCAAACAAACCTGACCTTACTGTTAGTGCCTATTGTGACTCAGACTGGGCTGCTTGTCCTGATTTAAGGAAGTCAGTTAGTGGTTATCTAGTGCTTATGGGTGATAGTCCTATCAGTTGGAAGTCTAAGAAACAAGCCACAGTTTCTTTATCCTCTGCAGAAGCAGAATACAGAGCTGTGAGACGGGTCGTAGGAGAGCTAGTATGGTTTGAAAGGTTACTGAATGAATTGTGTGTGCATTGCTCCTTGCCAATACAGGTTTTCTGTGATTGTCAAGCTGCAGTACACATTGCCAAGAATCCAGTTTTTCATGAAAGGACAAAACATATAGAGATCGATTGCCATTTTGTTAGGGACAAACTTCAACAAGGCCTGATCACACTTCACCACATCTCCACTGATTCACAGTTGGCAGACATTTTTACAAAGGCTTTAACTGGAGTTAAACATACTACACTATTAACCAAGTTGTCTGTAAACTCACTTACTTCCAACTTGCGGGGGGGTGATGAAATATAAGTTAGTTAGTTAAAGTTCACAGAGTTAGTTAGCATTGTTACTGCTTCACAGAGTTAGTTAGCATTGTTACTGCTTCACAGAGTTAGTTAGTTAGAGTTGGTTACAGAAAGTCAAATTTTGTATAAGTTGGTTAGCTAGCTTACAATTCGTGTATCTATATATACAGAGTCACATGTAACAATCACCACTTAATTTTTCATTCAATGAAACAGTTTCTTTTCCATTTAGCTCTTCCAGAACTTTCTTCTTCCTTTATCATATGAACTTGATGTTCATCAATAGAGGAATTTGATTGTTTGGCATCACAATGTGTTGATTTTCTCAGATATTTATATGTTATATATTCAAATTTTCATTTAGATGGTGACTTTTGATGAAATAATTTTTTTTCGATGAAAAGATGATGGTGACTTAGAATTATATGCTTGTGAAACTTTGAGGATAGGAAGTTTTATTCCACTTTTGGATTTGAGTTGCTCATATGAACTTCCACAGAAGTGTAGCGACCCTAAAAATAGATAGGTGAAACTAGAGCCTAACGTATGAATTTTTAAAGTTTAAGCATAAATTGGAAGTAGTCACTTTTGGAAGAAAAAAAAAACAGTTCAGAATCCGGAAATTGGCTAAGTTCAAAATCTGGAAATTCTGCCAAGTGTGGAAATCAGTGAGTTTTTAGCCAACTTTGAGCAGTCATAACTCCTAGCTCAGGATGATCCAGGAGTAGTTCCAGTTATGTTTGGAAAGCCCTTGGAACGATCTTTCCAACGCCACCGAGTTTTCTCGATTCCGAGTTCGTATGAGTGAGTTATGCCCTTTGAAAGTTGGGCAGTTGGCAAGGAGTCCGTCCGGAAATTTAAGGGCATTTTGGTCTTTTCACAAATCTTTTCTTTTGAGGTTATATTATTGTGTTAGGCTGATTGTGGATCATTTTGTTCCATTTTAAAAGAGTAAGGAAGGGTTCTCTTTGGAACACCATTGAAGGCCAAGGTGAAGTTGGAGCTAGGGTTGAAGGTTTTGAGTGCTTTCTTCTTCAATTTTTCGTGGGTTTCAACTTAGAGGTATGGTGACCCTTGATCCTTGATCAATCTTTCTTTCAAGGAGTCCAATCAAAAGTGTTTCAAAGAACAAAATCTCAAATTCTAATCTAAGCATGGGTTCATTGGCAAAACGTTTTCTAAGCCATTATATTGATGAATTAATGTTTGATTAATGTTTTTAAGATGATTTCATATGGAATTCCTTGAAGAACCCATGTTTTCCCTAAATTCCTAAATTTGCTTATGAAGTGGGTCTTTTGCTTATGATTCAAAGTTTAGGAGATTGTGTTTGGATTGGATTGTATTAGTGACTCTTATGATTTTATACATCTATCTATGATGAATTGATGATGTATGGATAAATTGAAAGTTGTGGCCTTATGGGCAAGTTATGATGAATTCTCTTGTGGTAAGTAAAATGGTTGGGACTTGAGTGTTGTTGATTATGGCTTTGGAGGATGGTAAGTTGGCTTAATCTCTTATTATGGATAAAATTGTTCTTGCTTAGTTTGATCCACTTATGGTGGAGGTGTTTAATTATGAAATGTTATTGTACTATGTGAAGGTATTCTTATGGTTATAAGGTGATCTTGTACAAAGTGTTATTGTATTGTATATTATATACATAAATGAGGCTATATGTAAAGTCCTATATGAAGCTATATGTAAAGTTTTATGTGAAGCTTTATGTGTGAAGGTATGATGTGAATGAGTTTTATGTGAAGCTATATGTGAAGGTATGATGTGAATGAGTTTATGTGATCTTGTGATGATCCTATGTAAAGTGGATAGCATTGTGATTTAAAGTATGAT